CACTACTCCTTAGGGTGCTCTTGGTCATGGTTGTTTGTGCTTGAAATACCTGTCCCAGCCCGTCATTTGCCCGGGCGCGCTGGAAGGCTGCGCACTGAAAGGGTTGAGAGGGCACCCAATTTAGAAACCGAATTTTTTGGCCCCCTGACTCGAATTTTTCTGGCTAAATCAATGCGATCGTTGAGTAGCTCAGTTGAGACTTCTACCAAGACCGGAGCGACTTTGGCTGCGTTGTTTATGGTGGCATTGTGTAATCGCGAGATTAACCTAGCACGAGTCTGGAGTTCACTGAAGTACAAGATTTCCCCCAAAGATTATTTCCAATGCCCCGAGCTTGCTCATTTAGTGTTTGACGGTTTAAGTATAATGTCAAGCCATGCACGCGGGGTAACGATTAAGTTGCCGAGTTCGTCGAAGTTGGTGAAGGAAGAGAATGCAAAAAAGCCGGGAAAGATTTACCGTAACAAATCGTGGCCTACTTTCTATTCCATAGTGGCTCGCAATATTCTTTCGAGCACGTACCTGCAAAATGAGCTTGCGGGCGTTATTCGTGACTTCCTGCTTGCGCTTCAAAACATCGAAATTCATGATACCGAGGCTGACGTCGAACAACAAAAGGCGGCCAGAGTGGACTGGCTGCATCGATGTAACCAACTTATGACCACACTACCCCCGACAGTGGACCTCAGATGGGTCTACACCAACTACCCGGAAAGAAACGACATGAAAACTGTGGACGCGCTAGTAGCCGCTTATAACAAGGAGTACGAGACCCAAGCGTTTCCCGAGCGCCACATATGGAAATTTCCAACATACCGGGAAATTCCTGCCCGGGAAAGTTCGGAGTTTCGCGTGCTGGGCCTCTGTTGATGTGCCCTCAACATTATGTGTGCAAGCGCTTGGCTTGGCGCCGGTGCGGTTCCGAACAGTTGAGTCATGTTCCGAACAGTTGAGTCCACCCCGCTATGGTACCAAGCAGTCCTTAGGCCTGCGCCTCCGACGTGGTATCACAACG